GGACCTAAACAATAAAATTAGATAAAAATTAGTTCAATGGCCAAATAGGAGTTGGGCAGGGATCCCGTTCAGACTAAAAAATAAAAACGGAAAAATAGAATCGGTCGGGTGCTGTACGTACGACGGAAAAGATAACAATAAAAGAACATAAAAGAAAATTGAAAAACGATTTGAATTAGGATTCATATTCACGTTACTATAATCAGAGAGATCTATTTAGATTAGGATTCCAATTTATACAGGTGGATTGAAATCGGACTCCGCATCGAGCTAGAAAAAGAACTATTTTAATTCATATGAGCACAGGTTATATATATAACTCCGGACGGAAGAAACTATCTATTGGTCGGTAGTTAGAAGAAGACGGACCAAAAAATAGATGGACCAAAAAAATTGGCTGAAATTTTGTCTATTTATTATTAACTAGCAAATATGCCCGTACGTTGCAACGGGAGAAAAAACTACGCGTTCATACGAAATGACAATGCAGATAGTACATATCTATGTATGTTTAATTTTATTCTTCTTACAGAATTTCAAATCTACATGATAACCATGACATTAATAATATAAGCTCGAGACATAATAGTTAACCTCGATGTAAGAAGCCAAACTCATCATGTAAGTCATTTGTGGACAATATTTGCTCCGTTACCGGTCCGTCATTAGCTCTGGTGTGATCGGGGCACTGCAACGCCTCTAGGTTGACACCCGCCGCGCACCTTGGCGGGAGCCTGTTTGCTGTCGCGGCTGTAGTGGATCCAGAATGAAAATGACCGTTAAATATTATGTTTGCAATTAGTTTAGTCAAGAAAATAAAAGGCACATATTTTTGTCAAAATATCTTGACATTTTTTAGCATGGAACGGCAGGTGCTCTGCCTTTGCATTAAGTAGAGGTAAAAATGAACGGGCACAACAGATTTACATGCTGGTTATTGGTTATACATTCCCAGCCAACAGAAAGGTAGAAGCTAAAAAGAGGAAAAAAACTGCACAGCAATAATTGCAGTATGAAACTATCGCTATGTTACAAAAATATCTAGATATAATAAGCCATATATTTTTGTCAAAATATCCAGATATAATAAACCATCCTTACTTAGGATATAACATGGCTAACAGAAAAAAGTGCAATGCTCTAAGTAGCTGCATTTGTCAGCATCAAATTCTCTAGTCCATTTTTTTGTCCCGCTCGAAGTTTTGCAAAATAAACAAATATATGAGATAAAAGGAAAACAGACAAACACGTTAATGCCTTCCGTGAGTCCTGGTTTCCATGAGCGGGAACGTCTTTCACGGGAAAAGGTCGCGAGAAGGGATATTTTTTTCCTGAAAACGTTTCCATCTCATGGATAAACACGGACACGGGATTTTTTTTTCTAGAGCTGATGCCGAAACCGAGCCACCCTAGGTTAAGGTGGACGAAAAATTATTAATGGCAGAAATAAGCATCGTGGTATCGTAGTGGCAGAAATAAGCCACTCTAGGTCCAAACATGCATATATCCATCGAATTTGTGCTAGCTACTTGCAAATAAGCATCGTCGTATCGTAGTACTATAATATAATACGTTAACTTGTTGCTTTCCTCGTTTAATTTGTCGGCTGGCTAAGGTTTACAACCACCCGGCCGGCTTTGCTGAATGGGGCCGAGGGCCCATGTCCAGAGAGAGAGGAGGAGGGAGGCCCAATGCAAATCACATCCTTGCCCTGGATCACACGAGGCCAGCTGTGTAGGCCCAGAGTTTTTCCTTTCTTCGAAGTTCCCGGCCCGCAAGACCACACACGATCCACCAAGTCCATTATTGCTCAAATCGATGCGCTCACTGTTGCAGTTGCAGTAGCACTAATGATGATGGAGGTAAATATAATTTGAGGGGGACATGATTCCCGATCTTCCATCAGGTTGAAAACAACTATTGTTTTAGGTGGAGCACGACACACCAATCCGACTTCAGATTGAAAGACCCGAACATCCTGCAATCTTAGCACCATAACTCCTCTGGTTATCAACCGTGTCATCAATCCGGTTGACCTCGCCAAGAAGGCTAATTCCTGCCTGCGAAACGAAGAACACAAGTAAGAATTCGAAAGTACGCAACTCAAAGTATAGAACAAACTGCAGATGTATGATTAAGTTCTCAAAGTAGGGTCTCATAAACCGATGAACGGCGACTGTCAATGGACAGAATGATCTAAGCAAAACCCAAAACCTAACGACGGCGGCGGCGTATGATTATAAATGTCTTAGGGTCGTCGCCTACCCTGGACACGCCCCCCTAACGGGTTCAAAGACGATACACGGCCCATTGGACAAAATACGGTGACGCGGCACCTTGACAAATTCTGGATGCTGACTTGCTTCGACGCTTCTCGTTGATTCTGAAAGGATTTTGACGTGGGACCACTTTCATTGGTTTTCTTATGAAATTATCTTTTCATCCATATATGGATCGTCGAAAACGGAGTCTAGAAGCGTCCTGGGTGACAAGTTTATGGCAAACTGGTCCTAGAGGCCGAGGCAGACTTGAATTCATGTTGGATCAGGCCTCAGGCTTGTGTTGGACGTCCTTGCTGGCAGTGACAGAGCCAGGAAAAAATTATAGGTGAGGCGAATTGCAACGAAGAAATAAACCAAAAATACACCATATTCATAATGGTGCCATACTACAATCACACAAAATCATGGCGAAACCGCTGCAATCACATATTATGACGAAAAGTAGACAAGGAACACAAGATATTACCTCAAATTGAAGAATAAACTAGTAGTTCTTTATCAGTTCATCCATACATTGCAAAATACAAATAACGAATGGATGAACCTGTAAATTGAGGTGCTGCCGCTGGTGCTCTCTAGCTAACTGTCCACGACCGCGGCTAGCCCTAGTGCCAGGTACACCCTCACCCTCCTCGTGGTGGACCTCCTATCCTCCTCCGGTCCTCCCTACATCGCAGCAGCTAGTAGAGAACAGAGCAGCAGCAGGCCAGCAGGCAGCAGCGGCCGGCCACAAACACAACGTCGCAGCGGAGGGGGGCCGGAGCCGGGCGGGCGGCGCGACACGGGCCGGTGGGAGGTGACTAGCTCTCACAGCCTCTCCTAGGGCATCTACGTTTCGTCGATTCAAAAATTGGGGATGGGGATAGGGGAAAAATTCCAACGGTGGGCTTGGCCTCTCGCCTCTGCTGAGCTAAAGTGAAGGAAAAGACCTCCTAGTTTCTTCTTCTTCATTGCTGCAGTAGCTCTGCCCGTGCTTGGTTGCTCGCTCCTCATCGCCACGACGCCGCCGGAGACCGGGGTTAGGGAAGAAGCGGGGGTCTGGGGGTCTGGTGCGAGCTCGCCGGTAGCTGGGGCGGTCGCCCCACCCCGCCCCTAGGGTGGCTCCGCCAGTGCTCGCTGGTCATCTTTGCCTCCATCTCTTCCTCTAAGTTTCTCATGATCCTCTCCAATGTTCCTAAGAAATATAACATCACTAGGTAGTAGTCTAATATCAAAAGTATCAAAAGATCGTTTAAAAACGAGCTCACCTCTAAATTTACCTGGCACATTCGAACTCGGGTCATTGGACCTTGCATATTGTTTGGACGATCCCAAAGAAGTGATGTCCTCGTCATAATTAACATGTTGTTCTAACAAAGATTGCAATAACATGGTGCTCAGTGGAGGAGCGTGACATAAAAGCCGATTTTTTTTTTTTTTTTAATCTTTTTTAAAAAAAAAATCATAAATATATCTCTGGAGGTATGATTTCAAAATCTAGATCCTTACCTCGGCGTTATCGTTGCAGGCGTCGAGATTACACGTCTCGACGCCATCGTTGCTGGCGCCGAGGTCTTAAGCTCGACGCAGACGTGACGCGCAGTCAACTTGGCGCCGTAGATGCGATTTTCGGGATCCTCCTCCTCACAGCACCCCAAGTCAGTCGCGGTGCTCTCGCGGGAGCAACCAGCAGGCAGAGAGGAGGCAGGGAGGAACAACTCCAGGCGGCCGGCCGGCGGTTAGTTCGAGTTCGACATGGCCACGAGGCGCCAGCGCGAGGCCGCCGCTCCTCCTCTGCAGGCTGCGAACGTAGGTGCGTATATATACACAATAATCGTCCAATCGGGTTGGTCTGATTCTGATCTGCGACCGGGGAGGATCGCGCGCGGCTTATTTGTTTCTGTATTCCGCGCGATTTTCGAGTCCGTTCGCTGTTATGGTTTACTTAGGGTGCATTTGGGGTCGATAATCGATTTCGTAAATTCGCACTGCATGTCTGCATCCCTGCGGTGCGAAATGCCAAGATGCGAATGCCGGCCATGGATCAACTTCTCACTCAATATCTTTCCTGGGGATGAATACCATAGCTTCTGCCCGTCCTGCAGCAATGGAAGGTGACAGTCTCAGCAGGATCATGCGTGACAGTTTCAGCAGGATCATGGGAGATTTCCAAAGGTACTTTCGCAACTATCTCGCTGCTTTGTGTATTTTTGTTGGGTACTGAGATGTGTTCATTTGCACGGAAACCATATGTACCCCCTGTAGAACTTGAAGAACGTATTAATTGGCAACGGATGGGTAAACACGTTTTCTTTGATCCAGAAAGGTCCATGGTCTTGCTGCATGTGCATGAACACATTTATATAGGGCATGCATCGGTACTTTGGTTAGTCTTTCAAACTGTTAGTCTTTACTTTACCAAGTCAAGTCCATTCTTTAGCGGTTGTCAGGCAAGTATGTTTATATTTTGCTACATAGCATCCAAATTTAACTCTTTAACTGTACTCAATTTATCTCACATTGAGTTCCTTGTCTTTGTGATGAACAGGCTAGGTGCCGCGATTAACCAGCTTGACAGTGAGAGAGCTGAGAAACAGTCTGTTCGGGAGGCCGTATCGTATCGTGGATTATTTACTGCTGGCTGGTTTGGTGTGAGAGAAAAACACTGTTCCCGACTGGAAATTTACGATCGTTTACGAGCAAGCGAATAGGCTGAAAGAAGATGAAGTCCAAAAGGTGATGGAGGAGCTTGAGAGTGAGAAAGCTCAGAAAGAAGCTCAAGTCCAAAAGGTGATGAAGCTTGAGAGTGAGAAAGCTCAGAAAGAAGTTCAAGTCCAAAAGGTGATGGAGGAGAATGTGAGGCTACACGCAATGCTTGACAAGGAGGCGCAGCTCCAGGCCATGAGCGAGCAGTGCAAGCTCATGGCGCTGAATCACCACAACTAGCAGGCAAAGAGCCTGAGGCAGCTTCCCTCGCCCTAATGATGTAGTGATGTACCTTACAAACTACCGTTACATTGAAGGTTAATCTGTAGGTGGGTATTTTGATAAATTTGCCAGGGACATTCTGGCACCAGTTTGGCAAAAGTCCAAATTCAGAGGCGGGCCAGCAAATTTCAGCTCGTCTAGCTAAAGAGAAATTTCACATTACAAGATGAGAGTAAGGATCGATTTTTACCTAAAAATAATGTTTCTAGAAATCGGCAAACATACCCTAAAGGCATATAGTACTAGGTAAGCTTATATCCCCAAGCTGATGGTGAAAAGCAAATCAAGTGCATTATTTTGATCTTTAGTTCAACACCAAAATCATTCGAGAATGCAGAACACAGCTGGATGCATCAATCTTTGCCCTGTTCGCTTGGCTGATAAGCCATGGCTAAAAGTACTGTTGACTAATTTGTTGTGAGAGAAAAATACTGTTTGTTGGCTGAAAAAGTATGGCTTATAAGCCAAGCGAACAGGGCGCTTCACTTCTGAGCTTTAGTTAAAGGAGAAACATTTACACAAACTACAACATGCAGGCAATAATTCTGCTTGCTTTAAACAATGGTGAAGTTCTATCCTGTCCCAGTACAAAAACAATCACAAATTTACAAGCTCCTATGTACAACCCGAAAAATGGCAGATGAAATCTCCTCACCCAAAACTGCCAGATTGCTGGCACTATTAAGATTTACACGTCGATTTGCATGTTCCGTTTTCGATGTCTATTAGTTTCTTCAATAGCAAAAGCGTAGGAAAACGTATCATCATACTGGGGCAGATGAACTTTGCAGAGCTGCAAAGTAGTCCTCTTCAACATTCTTTAGCAGATTGTCACTGCTTAAGCTGATACACCATGATATAGACCCTTTATCCAAAGGCCAAGGCAACAAAGCTGAAATTAACACAAAAGTTTGCTCAGTTCAAGCTTTGTCATCATAAATATATATTTTTTCACGAATGAGCAGGAGAGCTGCACATCATCATTATATTAAGAAGATAAACGAGTCTAAGAAGACTCATGCGTGGCCCCTAGAGTAGGAAATAGTACAACTTTGCCAATAAAAAAACAAATAGACGACTAGCGACCTAACCACAAAATCTAGTCATCGTAAATATATTATTACTGCCAGAATATGCCAGATCGACTGCTTTTTGGAAGTTTTATCCTCACAAACAAGACATTAGTCCAAATGAGCTTTTGGTCAGAAAAGTAATGAAATATTTTTACAAATGTTGAGGAACATGAATGCTAACTTATGGCTATCACCAATTAAGTGATAATTTGATAACACTATTAACTGATAAAGCAATAGCTTGGCAATTTTTTTGGTCGCATAAAGTGTTCAATCCTCATAGAAAAGCCTGATTGTTTCTTTCATGAAATTGGAGCATTAGGAGTTATCGACAAAAAAGGGGAATAACGATTCAGCAGAGCATGATGTATTTTGCTAGAGAAGAATTACACACATATGTAAAAAGAGCAAATTGAGCTAAATGACTACCTGAAGAATTGTTGGCTCCCTCCTCTGCTGTGTGCAACAAAATTGTCCCAGAAAGGATGGTTATTAGGCCACATAATTCAGAAGCAATACTACTAAAGCTTTGACCAGCCCAGTTCTGCATTTCATAGTTTTGTAGTAATAAGCCCAATAAGTCCAAACACAGCCTAGTTATGCTTAATTAACAAGACAAATAGGGCTAGTTTGTACCTTAAACATAATTCCACTCGCCACTATTGTAAGGGTAGTAAACATTACATAATAAATAGGGGAAACAATAGCCAAATTAAAGGTATCCAATGCCTGCAAAAATAGAAGGAAGTTACATAACCCTAAAACTGAGATATATGCTGCAACAATCAGAAATGTACTAGACGAATTTAAGATGCAAGTTTTCTTGATAACCTGTAGTGGATAGTTAAAATTTGCTTGTAGCTTGTTGCAGAATGAAGGGCGAGCCTGGTGCAAGCGGTAGAGTCTTACCGCCTGTGACCGGAAGGTCCTGGGTTCGAGTCACGGCCTCCTCGCATTGCACAGGCGAGGGTAAGGCTTGCCACTGACACCCTTCCCTAGACCCCGCACAGAGCGGGAGCTCTCTGCACTGGGTACGCCCTTTTAGCTTGTTGCAGAATAACAAATATTTTAAGTTGTCAATGCTCAGAAGTACACGCTCTAGGTACAATCAAGCAAAATACATTCATAGGTGAAGCAACAGGTTTCAAAAAAACAGATGTGCATACCTTGTTCAGGTAATTTATTTGAGAAACCCCACAGACAATTGCAACCATAAGAAAAAGCCATGTGTATGGATAAGCAGCTTGATTCACTCCATCCGGTGTAAGCTTTATGGCAACACCAATGGCTTTGATGCTAACGACCTACAAAGTCAGGAAAGCTCAGTAACTGCATATTCCTACAGTTAATCTGTGTATCTGCCACTCAAAGCACACTTACCGTTAGTGATCCCATTGAAGAGCAGATACCCAGATATATCAGGATGTTAGTCTGACCGTATCGAGGTTCAAAGAAGACTACTAGCGTTCCCACAAGTAACAATGTTGTCAGCGCATATGCTAGAAATCCTGCCAATGATCGACAGCCCCACGATGGAGACATTCTGTGAGAACTGCAGCTCCAACAAACCGTTATGTGCACGACTGGGTGCAATGACTCACCTGGTAAGTGTATCCTCCACCACCTGTAATGAAAAACAGAAATGGGCCCGATAAGCTTAAATCAGAGGACTATTGGGCATGACGCATGAATAGAGCTTGTTTTATGGAATGTCTGCTAGACCTTATAACAGGTTTGCCGAAAAAAAGAAGACATAATTGATGAAGTTGAACACAACAATACTAGATGAAAATAACAGAGCAGCCAAATTGGCCCCATCTTGGAAACCAAAGCAGCCCCCGAGCTTGGATCACATGTATCTAGAAGACAGCGACAAGACGATGAGGACCGAACCGCTCATGACGCGCACAGGTTTCTAACTTTGACTAGCGAGGGCGCAGGATTGTCAAGATCTAGAATCACAGACATCAGCCAGGTCCAATCGCGGCAGACATGGCGTCAAATCACGCACCGGCACGGCACGGTAGTTTGCAGGCCGCGATGTGTCGTCCGGATCCAATCCAACCGCCAGTGCCTGTCTACCTGGAACCAGGGCGGCGAATTGACGAAAGCGGGCGGTGTGGCTGGACTTGTTCGCTCTGATCAGGTGAGCGAATGCGGGCTCAGATTCAGAACGAACGACCTCCACGGAGCCGGGGGCAGGAGCATATCAGATCAGATGACTCAAGAAGCAGCCCTGGGCGGGATGGGAATATGGGATCCTAGGACGGAGGCGCGTGGAGAAGACGAGTGGAAGCTAGGCGCGGCAACGCGGGAGAGGTGCCGTACCTGGGCGGGCGCCGCACTTGGCAGCGCGCAGGAGGTCGATCTTCTTGAGGATGAAGCTGGCGCCGATGAAGGCGCTGAAGGCGACGGCGAGCGCCAGGCCCTTGGTGTTGTCGGACACCGCCTCGGCGCCGTAGATCCTCGGCGCCGCGCCGAGCTCAGCCTCAGGATGTAGGACGCCGAGTAAGGCGCCGAGCTCCGCGTCAGGATGTAGGATGCCGAGTAAGCGCCACGTCATCTGTGTCGAGCCTAAAACCTCGGTGTCAGCAAAAATGATACCGAGCAGAGCTAAAGATTCAGATTTTAAAATCTTACCTCCAAAAATATATTTACGATTTTTTTTAAAAAAGCTAAAAAATAAAAAAATCAGACATAAAAGTAAGGTGGGCCCGATTTTATACCGGTGATGCATAGACAGTCAGCGATGCGGCAAGCCGCTCCACACACCTCTACGATGACATGCTTACGCCTAGCACCAAGGTCCCTATATTGCTTTGCTTACTTGGTTGAATCCTCGATACAGCTCTGTTAAACTGTTGTGCACGTCGTGCTGTTAGCTTAGCGTAGTTAATTTATAGCCTATTTTTTGTGATCCTCAAGCCTTCCAGGCCTACAACGTACAAGCGTACATGTCATCCTATTATTTTTCTTCAACACACGACTTGTATTTCTATTTTTTTCCCATTGTCTTGTAGCAGCGCTAGCCACGTGATAACTAGTAACCAGAGATGTAAGATTAGCGTGGAGGAAAGGGGGGCCAGCGCCCAGGTTGGCCGCCACTACCCTCCGCCAGTGATCCCTGCGTGCAGGCATGCATTCGCGCGTGGAGCAAGCAAAGGGTATCCACACGTTAGTAGTTGAAGCAGCTAAGTAGTCACGGGCCAGATGAAACAAAAACGTAAGCTGCTGGAATCGTTGACGAAGACGATGATAAATGACGACCATGCATGCGTGATGATTGTTTCTATCTGTTTGTTAATCGATATGATCCAGCAGTCGCTCGCGCTCATCATATTTCGTTAACATAAAATACTATCTAGTAGCTGCTAGTTCTTTTTATTATATATGCAAGCACACACTCTAGCTTGTTGATGAGCTACATATATAGAGATATCAGATACACACACACCTGCTGCTGTGCTGCATGCCTGCATGCATATGGTGGAGTTGGACAAATCACAATTCACACAATGCAAAGTATGTATACACACACGCAACCACAATAACAATATATATGTAACATTAACCTTGAAATTGTTGGCATTTGAAATTGATCCGAGTGCCCGATAAAAAACACTCGCTAAATAGACGTTTGCCTGCACTGTAGATGCCGTGTACTGTTTGCTGAGTGTTACACTCGGCAAATCCTTTGCCGAGTATTTTGTGGGCAGGCACACAGTAAAGCCACTATTTTCGGTAGTGAACCAACATGGACACAATTCTTCCTTCTCCCGCTTCCTCGATCCAGTTTCACACATACACATGAGCTAGAGACATGCATGCATGGTGATCGTTTAATTTGTTGTTGCTTTCTGTATACATCTCGATCACCGTGTCTCTCTCTCTCTCTATATATATATATATATATATATATATATATATATATATATATATATATATATATATATACAGCTGGCCACAGAATAACTTATTCTATGGTCACCTTGATTTACGATAATGTTTGTACCAATTTACGATAATGACAATACACATTTACGATATATAGGTTACTATAATTCAAGATGATACTTACCATAATGCTATAGTAAATCACTTATAAGAGACTTACCATAATCTCGTAAATTAGTACAGTAATTATCGTAACTCAAAGTGGCCACAGAATAACTTATTCTATGTCCAGCTACAGTATATATATATATATATATATATATATATATATATATATATATATATATATATATATAGACACACACTCTCTCTCTATTCGTAATTATATATCTGGTGGATATGCATGGGTGCTCGATCAGGTAGTAGTTTAATTAGGAGGCAAGCTCACAGTTTCACTGAAATCCATGGAACAACTTGCATTGATCGATTTTAATTTGTGGCTGTCATACACTTCCTCTCTACTCTACATCTACATGCATGTAATGTACTAGTTTAGTGATAATGCATGTTTATGTCCGCTAGCTACAACTGTGTCGTCGTGCTACGCATCATATCATATCACACTAGATTATATATATGAGTGCAACATGGACGACATATACAATGTTTTTTTCTTTATATATATAGTTGAACTCCATCGTATTAATTGGGTTGTTGCTAGCTAATTTGCGCGCGTTTTTTCTTTTTATTTATTTATGTGGCTAGAGACTGATCAATGGTCCACGAGTCAACAAGTCCATATGCAAACTGTTTTGCTCATTTTCAATCATCTGGAAACTATCTCACACACACTACTGCATGCTTTAAGTCGTTATTGTGCCAAAGAAACTAATATTATATTCATCAGTTCAGGAAAAAATCTAATTATGCAAAATATTTATTCTTTCATCCTTCAATGCAAACAATTAATCTTTGGTTCTTTATATATTCATTTCCCTTCGCGAAAACAAATAACATAGCACCACACAAAATTAATTGGAAGTTGAATCAAGATCAAACTTACAATTGAAATACAATAAAATTGGAGCCTACTAGGTCACCCCTTTAGAAAAATTAATATCCCCTACCTAGCTTAATTTTAGTTGCATTGGTTATACCATCCGAAAATACCTCCCTGGATTGTGTCACAAAATCGACGATATAGTTCGTATTTAAAAGCACCTTGAAAAGATCACTATATATTTTGTATCTGAGAATAATAGAATATCATAAAACAATTTACGATAAAAGATGATTGTTTGGACACTACTCAAATATTGGATTCATTCAATCGGACATGCTAGCTGAAACAACCCTCATATACCATCAGGGCTAGGCTGGTATTATATTGGCCTATTCCAAGTTAATATAATACCTCAGACATTCTGTCTCTCGATCTGGTTTTATTTTTGGAACAAGATTCCGACTATAATGTGTCATTATAATCTCTATGGACGTTGTTTAATTTGTCTTAACTAGCCAGATGACACCTCAAAGTAGTAGACCAACATGATGATCTGGACTTCCTTGTTAAAAGATGATACTGACATAGTAACCACATATCCATATGTGTCATTATAATCTCTATGGACGTTGTTTTGTCTTAACTAGCCTGATGACACCTTAAAGTAGTAGACCAACATGATGATCTGGACTTCCTTGTTAAAAAATGATACTGACATAGTAACCACATATCCATAAGTAAAATATTTGTGTCGCGCTAGCTAGCCAGTTCTGTGCATATATAAACCTCTTAATTAACATTGCGTGTGGTCTTCATATATCTTTATGTCACAAGTAGAGTTGTCCTAGCTATGTTAAATTTTCTTAAGTTTGATCAAATTTATAGAAAAAAATCAATATTTATAATACAAAACTAGTACTCCATGAAATATATTTTCATAGTATACTTGTTTTCTGCCATAAATGGTTGTACTTTTTCCCCTGTGGATTAAGCTTGGTTAAACTTAAAATACTTTGCTTTAGAATAACTCTAGAAATTGAATTGTTTTGGGATAGAGGGAGCACTCAGTTCCGTCAACTAGAGTTAGGATCAGTTAATTTAATTGGACTATTTGTGTGTATATAGGAATCAATAATAATATATATGTTTGTGCGCATTATTTCCGTAAAATTGCAAGCTTCTCAATCATCCATGTCGTCTTTAGTCACCATATATGGATTGCTAGCTCGATGTTGCGAGGTACAAGGTTGCTACTGATGCACAAAGCAAATAAAGCTTTTTTTCTTCTTCTTCAATAATGCGTGTTGAGGGCTATTTGTATGAACTGTGTTGGCGGCCTGCATGTACATGCACATGACGCTGCATGTTTGGTGTTTACACGATTCACCCTCATCGTCGCAATGTGTCATCCCGACCATTATTCACAGCGCAGCTCGATCGATACTCATCAATTTAACACAGCTTGTTTAAACTTTTATTTCACGTAGTATGCAAACGTACACATGCTTGTATGCATGTAGTAATATAAGAGAACAACGTACAATTTGCGAGGTACAAGCTCGCTACCGATATGATCGATAGAGATCATCACTCTCAGAAAATAAAATAAAAAAAAGGACATATACTACACATGCACAAGCTACGGTGGGGTATGTAACCCATGCATGCATGCAGATTATATGCAGAGCAACAACGAACGACGACATACACACATATATATAGTAAGTAGGAGCGATCAAAGCAAACCATCATGACGCATGCATTTTAATTAAATTAAGCGGGGCAGGTGTAGTCCGCAGGGCAGATCTTGCCGCAGTGGTTGAGGAGGAGGGTGAGGTCGACGGGCACGTTGAGGTTGATGCCCAGGATGTTGGCCTTGATGGCGGTGCAGAGGCAGACGGCGGCGTCCAGGTCGACGAGGCCCTCCAGCAGCGGGCAGCACTGGTCGTTCTTCGGGGGGATGTTGAGCTTCAGTAGGTTCAGCACGTTGGCACACACCTCCAGCTTCAGCGCGTTGATCGGGCACGACCCGCCGCCGCCAGACGGCGGCGGCGGCGGCGACACCACCGGCGGAGTAGGACAGTACGGCGTGCAGCCATGCACCAGGGCCAGGGCAGTGGAGAGGATGGTCATGGCGAGGAACAGGGAAATAAGCTGCTTGGACGCCATTGCTACCGATCAGATAGCTAGCTATATATATAGCTCTTCAAGGGATTAAGTGTCTTCTGATCGGGCTGCTGCTAACTAGCTAGTAGGCTAGCTCTCGCTCGCAAGTGTGTGTTTGGGATGGTTCTCTTGGGTGGTATTTATAGACTAATTCAGCGAGCAACTGTGTGTGAACATGTGTGTATTTTGATGAGGAGCAATGGAAGTGTACGTGTTTTGGATGCATGTGATGTGTGATGCCAACCCTACATACGTGTCTACCTGGCTCCTTGCATTTTCCTGCAAATTGCATGCACGATTAATTATACATGTACAGCCTTTAGCTAGCTGGAGACGACTGGGCTAACTAATAAGTATTTTGGTTCGTTGCCTTAGCTTGTCTCCACTTTTCATTTTCTATCCCTAATAATAAATAGGTAAGATTTCGGACCATTTTTTTTTACCATCCATTTTTTTCGTCCACCTCTCCCTAACTACCGGACAATGGAGAGTTTTTTCTGTCCGGACTTATATATGTAACCCATGCTCATATGTGTTAGAATATCTCTTCTCTAGCGCGATACAGAGTCTCTAATTCTAAAATATATTGGGTCATGTGTGTGATCCAGTATTTCCCTCTTACGCTATTCCTTTTTTTTAGATTTTTTTCCTCCACGTCTCGAATCTGGAGTCCATCACTATTACGGAGTCCATGACTATTTCTTTTTTTTTTCAATGCAATTGTTACTTTTTCCCTTTAGCACACCTTGTCCGACTTTTTTCTGTAGATTTGGTTTTTTTTTCTTATGCTTCTACACAGAGTCTGGTTTCATAACGTGCCCTTTTTTCTTTTTTCCATTTTGCCGTGACCTATATATTTTTTCTCATAAATATATGAAACAAATAATGTGGGTGACCGTCGTGTTAATCCACCTAAATCGAGTGTCGACCACTTGACATCTTAATTTAAGCAAATCAACATCACGAGGTCCCTG